CAAAAATGGCTCAGGGTAAAGAGACCATAGATTTGGCCTAATGAAAGTCTAAAGAGTTCAAATTATCTGTCATTAAGCCTAGAAGGATGTCTTATGGATCTGGTTACTGGCAGAAGGCATTAATAGAAACAAAGGTATCAAAGAAAACAACGATATTTTTTAAAGAGTTGTGCCCAACTGCTCAAATTGCCACTGGCCTGAATTGAAGGAATTGTGATCATTTGAACAATAAAACTATTCTTGAGTCCTCCATGTTCTATGGGCAGGCCAAGGAAGCTGTTCAGTAGCCAAAGAGGGCAATTTTTCCCAAAGAGGATATTTAAAAAGAAGGACCTCCTAGAAAATGAAGTCAAGATTTCAAGAAGGACTATAGACTAAGAGTCTACCTCCAGGAAACAAAACTGAAAATGAATTAAGCTTTCCGCACTAGCTCAGGTTAGTAGATCTTATAACAGTTCCTCATTGGGATTTCAGAATTGCTATGGATCAGTGATTGCTAGGTTCTCTCCTTCTTCCCCTTTCTAAATAAGAGTGTTTACTGTGGGTTCTACTATTTTATGATGGATGTGTGGGGTGCAAATAACAAATCCTTTAGTTTATAGGACTTTGGCTGAAGAGGAGCTATGTTTGAGCATTATATATATATATATATATATATATATATATATATATCAACATATTATATATATATGTAAAGATTGTATTTATTTATGAGAGATGCAGAGAGAGGTAGAGACATAGAGGGAGAAGCAGGCTCCTTATGGGGAGCCTGATGCGGAACTCAATCTCAGGACCCTGGGATCACAACATGAGCTGAAGGCAGATGCTCAACCACTGAACCACCTTGATGCCCCAAGCATGATATATATTTTGAGAGCCTACATTTCAAGCTAGATATTTTGATTGAATGAAACCTTAGAGTATTGTTAGAATGGGTTGACTATATTTGTTTATGGGAAGGAAGTGAACATTTGTAAACAATGGCAGGCTGTGGGAGATTGCATTATTTCACAAATATTCATTCCCTCCATACCCTTGCCATGCTTCTCTATGAATACAGTCTACTTTCCTGCCCACTGACTTTAGCCTAGGTCATATTACTTTCTTTGGCTAAAAGAATATCTCAGTAGAAGTTTTAAATGTACTTGCATATTTTGCATGGCTTGGTACCCAGTCTCTTGATTGTTCCCTCTAAAATGAGAATAGGATGTCCAAGGTACTGGCTTACTCCCTTGGTTTGACCTATGAAATGAAAATATATGTTTCATGGGGGCAAGGTCTAGCTCTACCAAGCTCAGCTAAATCTGACAGAACCACCTCACAAGGGCATTTGTTGCTTTAACCCACAAAGACGTTGAGGTTATTTGTTACTACAGCAAAAGCTGGCTTACACAAGTTTTGAATGAATGGATGCTGAAAATAAGGAAGAATTTTATTGTCCACAAAAATGCTTGATTTATATATGAAAACCAAGAAAGTATCTGAATGTATATAACTAAACAAACTCTCAATAAGAATTATTTGTAGATAGAACTTACAGATACTAGTTGAGTTACTTGGTTATTTGGTTACCTGGATAGTAGTTTTAACCTAAGTCAAAAGCAGTGACCCTAAACTTAGTGGCATAGAAAGTATTTTAATTGGCTTTTCAGATCCCTTACATTTAAAAAAAAAAAAAAAAAGTATCTATAGACCCAAAATTCCAAAAGAAATTCCACTATATACTAGAAGATGGGTCAACATTTCCAAGAATATGGATACTCAAGAAAGAGCTCTGCAGCTCTGCTCCTCCCCGTTCGACAGACAGCCACATCTTCTGGTGCAGTGCCAGATTTGGCCGTATTGGGCGCCTGGTCACCAGGGCTGCTTTTTTTAACTCTGGCAAAGTGGATATTGTCGCCATCAATGACCCCTTCATTGATCTCAACTACATGGTGTACATGTTCCAGTATGATTCTACCCATGGCAAATTCCACGGCACAGTCAAGGCTGAGAACGGGAAACTTGTCATCAACGGGAAGTCCATCTCCCATCTTCCAGGAGTGAGATCCCGCCAACATCAAATGGGGTGATGCTGGTGCTGAGTATGTTGTGGAGTACACTGGGGTCTTCACCACCATGGAGAAGGCTGGGGCTCACTTGAAGGGCGGGGCCAAGAGGGTCATCATCTCTGCTCCTTCTGTTGATGCCCCCATGTTTGTGATGGGTGTGAACCACGAGAAGTATGACAACTCCCTCAAGATTGTCAGCAATGCCTCCTGCACCATCAACTGCTTGGCTCCTCTAGCCAAAGTCATCCATGACCACTTTGGCATCGTGGAGGGCCTCATGACCACCGTCCATGCCATCACTGCCACCCAGAAGACCGTGGATGGCCCCTCTGGGAAGCTGTGGCGTGACGGCCAAGGGGCTGCCCAGAACATCATCCGTGTTTCCACTGGCACCACCAAGACTGTTGGGCAAGGTCATCCCTGAGCTGAACGGGAAGCTCACTGGCATGGCCTTCCGTGTCCCCACCTCCAATGTGTCAGTTGAGGATCTGACCTGCCGCCTGGAGAAAGCTGCCAAATATGACGACATCAAGAAGGTAGTGAAGCAGGCATCGGAGGGCCCCCTCAAGGGCATCCTGGGCTACACCGAGGACCAGGTTGTCTCCTGTGACTTCAACAGTGACACCCACTCTTTCACCTTCGACGCTGGGGCTGGCATTGCCCTCAATGACCACTTTGTCAAGCTCATTTCCTGGTATGACAATGAATTCGGCTACAGAAACCAGGTGGTGGACCTCATGGTCCACATGGCCTCCAAGGAGTAAGAGCCTCCTGGACCACCAGCCCCAGCAAGAACAAGAGGAAGAGAGAGCCTCTCAGCTGCTGGGGAGTCCCTGCCCCAACTTAATCCCCCAACACACTGAGAATCTCCTGACCTCCAATTTATATCCTAGACCCCGAGGAAGGGGAGGGGCTTGGGGAGCCCTACCTTGTCATGTACCATCAATAAAGTATACTGTACCCAGCCAAAAAAAAAAAAAAAGAGCTCTGCAGATTTAAAAAAGAGAATGCCAAAGTTGAATGTTTGAAACATCGATTGTTTAATGTTGTATATGCATGCTTATTTGAATAATAAAAATTTGTACCTGGAATGTAACTCAATTATGCATTATTTGTCCTTTGAATTTTCTTCACTCTGTAGTAAAGATTACTTATTAGCTGGAAAAAAAAGACAAAAGTGTTTTACTTAAAAAATATGCTTTGAATTGCATCCATGTGTCACTGAGAGAAGGATTGAATCAATAAATGTTGTGGCAAAATGCCAAGAATCTAGGAGTTTGAAAGTTACTTAGAGGAACAGTATGGAGTTTCCTCAAAGAGTTGAAAATAGAAAACTACCTTATGATCCAGCAATTGCACTACTAAGAATTTGCACAAAGGATATAAAAATACTGAACTGAAGAGACACATAGACCTCAATGTTTATAGCAGCATTATCAACAATAGCCAATTATAGAAAGAGCCCAAATGTCCATCATCTGATGAATGGATAAAGAAGTTGTGGTATACATATACAATAGAATATTACTCAGCCATAAAAAATCTTAAATCTTACCCTTTGCAACAACATGGATGGAACTAAATTGTATTATGCTAAGAGAAATAAATCAGAGAAAGACAAATACCATATGATTTCACTCATATGAGGAATTTAAGAACAAAACAGATGAACATAGGGAATGAAAAAGAGAGACAAGCAAACCATAAAATAGACTCTTAACAAACTAGGGGCTATTGAGGACTGTTGGAGGGAAAGTGGCTATAGGGTAATGGGTATTAAGGGTGGCACTTGTGGTAAGCACTGGGTGTTACATGTAAGTCATCAATCACTAAATTCTCCTAAAACTAATATTACACTGCATGTTAACTAACTGGAATTTAAATAAAAACTTGAAAAAAGAAAGTTAAATAGAATCTCCACATACAATGAAGTATTTAAATAGCCTTACTTAGGAAATTCAGTCATCTACCACAGGCTGACTAATCTCCTTATCTTTTTAAATGATTTTGCAGTTGTAAGAGTTAGCATCATCTGTGTTATTTTTAAATTCTTTTTCTTTTTTTTGCAAGTACATTTTTAATAGTACAATATCATGGGTATTTCCTCAGTGGTTATACGTTACAGAATTTGTATTCAGTCCTGTCAAAATATAATTGCTATATCCAACCTAAAGCAATTAAAATCTAAATTGTGAGGTAGTGGAGATTGAGAAACAATCTCATTACAATGAATTGGCATCACTGGAATGATTCACCTGATACAAGTTACTAATCAAATGAGTTAAGGTAAGTGGTTAATATTAGATTTTTTATATCATTAAAGTTAATTTTAAATGGTTAAACTAATGAACAATGCTCTGACGTGAGCAAAGGGATTGCACTAGTTGTGAGTTGGAATATAGAGATGCAATTATATGTAGAGATGTAGTTAAACATAGAGATGTAATTCAAATTTTAAAATTCTGAGAAAAATGCTTAAAATCATTTTCCAAATCATTCCCACCAGATACAACTAGAAATTCAGAGTAGCTACAAAATCATACTAGAAGGGTAAGTGAATAATTGGCATTAGATAATCAAGCCTTCAGACAACATGAAGGAATAAACTTCTTCCTATGTAGAAAGAGATACAGAGGGGGAAAACACAACAGAAGGGATGACCCAAAGAGCATTCTTTGGAGCCCTTGTGCAGGACCCCAGACAGCTGTGATTTTGGCAATAGGTGATTTTAAGTTAACAACTTACCAAGCCCTTTCTTGATGTTCTTTTGACTCTCCCAGCAGCCTAGTGAAGGAGGCTGACTTGGAAAGTCCACTGTGTCCAGGAAGGAGACTGAGCTCTGAGAGGCAGATGCCTCCCCCAAGCCTATCAGTGCTTGATGCACAGAATCAGGATTTACACTGAGATCTCCTGGCACCAAATCCAGGGTTCTTTCCATTCCATTCTCAGGGTCCCCTGGAGAGAGGCTTCAGATGATGGGGACCTAAAGGCCAGAAGAAAGAAGAACGTGATGATGAGGAAGTGGGAGGTAAGAAATGGAGATAAGCACAGAGAAAAGAATGAGCACAAAATAAAGCATATTTCCCTACGAAACGATTTCAGGTGTGGAACTTCTGGGGCACCTGGGTGGCTCAGTCAGTTAAGTGACCGGCTCTTGATCTCAGCTCAAGTCTTGATCTCAGGGTCCTGAGTTCAAGCCACACCTTGGGCTCCATGGTGGGTGTGAAGCCTACTTAAAAAAAAATCAAGTGTGAAACTTGAAAATATATAAATGTTATTTCTTTTTTTAAAAAAAAGGATTTTATTTATTCATCATAGACACAGAGAGAGAGAGGCAGAGACACAGGCAGAGGGAGAAGCAGGCTCCATGCAGGGAGCCCAATGTGGGACTCAATCCCAGGATTCCAGGATCGCGCCCTGGGCCAAAGGCAGGTGCCGAACCGCTGAGCCACCCAGAGATCCCTATAAATGTTATTTCTAAACTCTGCCCATTTTCACATGAAAGAAAGGAGGGGAGAGAATGCTCCCTTTTCACTTCATTTTTTTTTAATTTTTTTCAGGTTTTTATTTAAATTCTAGAAGATATGTTTATTTTTAAAAAATACTTATTTGAGAGAGAGCATGCGGGTGAGTTGGGGGGAGGGGCAGAGGGAGAGAATCCTCAGCAGACTCTGTACCCAGCCCCAGCTGGAGCTGAATCCAGTGACCCATGAGATCATGACCTGAGCCAAAACCAAGAGTCCCATGCTCAACCAACTGAGCCACCCCACATGCCCCTAGAAATACATGCTTATAAGAACTGGCCCCATTTCATGAATTGCTAATTTTGTGAACTTTTAAATAATGAATCATATGTACAAAAGTAATAGAAAGGATAAGACCTTGACAGCCAACCACTATCTTTCTTAAAGGAGAACGAGTACAGTATACTGAGTCTTTCATGAATCCATTCATTGAATAAGTATTGAGTACCTACTACATGTCAATCTGATCAACTGAGGTGATTTAAAAAATGACCATCTACTCGAGGAGCTTAAAATTTAACAGGTGTGTCTCCCCTTGTAGCCTTTGGGTTTTCATAGAGACTCCTTAAACAGCATTTGAGGCTTTTAGTTCTTCTAGCCTTAATCCCCTAATATTATACAGGAACCCTATCGATATGGAGCAAGGTATAGGGCAAGGGAAAGTGTTCTATGGGCCTATGATTAGATCTCAGATTAGGTCTCAAGTTTTTAGTGAGTCTAGGCTGGCTATTTCCCTTCCCTCAGGCTATTTGATCCTTAGTGAAACCCCAATCAGTTAAACTCTGGTAAAATAGTTTCCTTTGAGGGTAGAACTTGCTAAGAACAATATTTCAAGGGCTCCTGGGTGGCTCAGCAGTTGAGTGTCTGCCTTAGGCTCAGGTTGTGGTCCTGGGGCCTTAGGATGGAGCCCCACATCAGTCTCACCCACAGGGAACCTACTTCTCCCTCTGCCTATGTCTCTGCCTCTCTCTGTGTGTCTCTCATGAATCAATAAATAAAATCTAAAAAAAAGAAAGAACATATTTCAAAATGATTATTCCTCCTCCTGCTGGAAGTACTAGAGGATTTGTCTCCCATCTTCACAGTGAGAACATGATAGGAACTCTGGAGGTAAAACTCATGGAAATGGGAGTGTACCATTAAAATAGGGCCCCCTTGGAGTTTTTAACTCTTAAGCTAGTCTACATTAAGCCACTTAGTAGTTCCTTAGTTACAGTTTGAAGTATTCCTACAGATAACGGTTCCTACTACAGTCTGCTTCTACTGGGCTTCTATTCCTGGTAAACTGCAATTCTCTTTATCTTTCTGTCTCTCTGTTTTGAGGAGCAACATTATGTTCTTTGACCTCAGTTCTCTGATAACTCCAAAATTGATGACTTTCAGTTTGTTCACCATTTTTCTTGTCGTAAGGATAGGAATGACAACTTCCAAGCTCTTTCAATACTTTATTATGTGCAATTACTACATTTTTTTCTGTTCTATTTATTCTTATTTTAAAAATCGCTGGTTGTGGGGCTCCTGGTTAGCATCTGCATTCAGCTCAGGTGGTGATCTTAGAGTCCTAAGAGCCTGATGAGCCCCGCATCAGGCTCACGCTCTTTCTCTTGAGTAAATACATAAAATCTTTTAAAATAAATTAATAAATAAAATAAAAATGAAAAATGCTATTTAAACCCACTAAACTGGGTTAGTTTGATGATTACTAAGAGTATTAAAAGGAAACAGAATTGGAATGTGAACTGGTACTGCCACTCTGGAAAACTATGTGGAGGTTCCTCAAAGAGTTAAAAGTAGAGCTACCCTACGACCCAGCAATTGCACTACTGGGTATTTACGCCAAAGATACAGATGCAGTGAAATGTCGGGACACCTACACCCCAATGTTTACAGCAGCAATGTCCACAAGAGCCAAACTGTGGAAGGAGCCTCAGTGTCCATCGAAAGATGAATGGATACAGAACCTGTGATCTATATATACAATGGAATATTACTCAGCCATTAGAAGGGACAAATACCCACCATTTGCTTCAACGTGGATGGAAGGGTATTATACTGAGTGAAGTAAGCCAATCGGAGAAGGACAATCATTATATGGTTTCACTCATATGGGGAATACAAAAAAAATAGTGAAAGGGATCATAGGGGAAAGGAGGAAAAATGAGTGGGAAAAATCAGAGAGGGTGACAAAACATGAGAGGCTCCTAACTCTGGGAAATGAACAAGGGGTAGTGGATAGTGAGATGGGGTAACTGGGTGATGGGCACTGAGGCAGGCACTTGACAGGATGAGCACTGGGTGTTATGCTATATGTTGGCAAATCAACTCCAATAAATAAATATATATATATAAAATAAATTTAAATAAATAGAAACAGAATTGAATGACAACCTGAAAGTGGGGAAACTATGACTCCAGAAGCAATAAAAATGATGGATTTTATTAGGTAAGAATTAGAAATGTGAAAATAAACACAACTAATAAAAAAAATAAATGACTGGCTAGGAAAAAGTGTATGTTATACACAAATGGTTCATATCTCTAATATATATAAAAGCTTCTAAAACTAAAGAAAAAAGACAACCTATAGAAAGATAGGCTAGAAATATGAACAGATATCATAGGAAAAAGAAATGTAAATGGCTACTAAACATAAGAAAAGTTTTAAATTATATTCATAACAAATAAGTAATAATTTAAAACTTCACTGAGTTATTATTTCTTTCTTATCAGATTGGAAAAAAATCCAAAAATCTGCAACATATTTTGTTGATAAGGCTATGAAGAAACAGCACCTTAATACATTTTTATGGAAATACAAAATGTTGAAACTCCTAAAGAGAGGGGAATTTGTCAATATATAGCAAAATTACACAAGTACTTACCCTTTTATTTAGCAATCCCACTTCTAGAAATCTACTACAAAGATACACCAGGAAAAAAAAATACAAAAAGGTAGGTTCACAGGAATTCATTGAAGTACTATTTGTAGGGGGGTTCAATAGGTTAAGCGTTTGCCTTTGACTATAGTAGGTCATGATCCCAGGGTCCTGGGATTGAGCCCCACGTCGGGTTCCCTACTCAGCTGTGAGTCTGCTTCTCCCCATCCCTCTTCCTCCGCCCTTCTTGTAAATGCACCTGTGCTCTGTCTCTCTCTCTCTCTCTCTCTCAATCTCAAATAAATAAAATCTTAAAAAATAAGAAATACTATTTGTAATAACAGACTGTAAGCAAACCAAATGTTTATTAATAGGAAATGGGTTAAATAAAACCATGCTGTATCTGTACAATGAAATACTTTGCAGCCCTTTCAGAAGAAGCCAGAGAAAGCTCCCTTGTCCCTTCCACCATGGGAGGTTACACTGAGAAGTCAGCAATCTGCAACTCAGAAGAGGCTCTTTACCTGAACCCAGCCATGCTTGCATCCAGTTTTGGACTTCCAGCCTCCAGAACTCTGAGAAATACTTGCTGCTTTTTATAAGCCACCTAATCTGTTGTATTTTGTTATAGCAGCCCAAATGTAAATGAGCTACCAAACCATAGAAAGACATGGAAGAAACTTAAAATACATGTTATTAAATGAAAGGAACTAATCCAAAAGCACTACCTACTGTGTGATGTTCTGGAAAAAGAAAACCTATGGAGACAGTAAAAGGATCAGTGGTTATCAGTATGCTCTTTTGCAATGTAGCCTTGCTATTTATTCTTCTATTAAAAGGTGGAGTCTATTTCCTCCACCATTGAATTTGGGATAGACTTAGTACTTATTATGCCTAATAGGAAATGTAATGCTTTGACTTCTGAGGGTAGGCCTTAAAAGTAATACAACTTCTATCTTTGCATCTTATAATTCACCTTCTGTGAACTCAGCTACTATGCAATGAGGAAGCCTGAACAGCCCCATGGAGAGATCTATGTGGAGAAAAACCAAACCTGACAACAGCCCCACCTGAGTCCTCAATCAGGAATCAGAAATAACTGTCAGAAATGTGAGAGAGACCATCTTAAAACTCTAGCCATCCCAACACCCCCACTGACACCATGATCCCTGACAAAGAAGAAACTCCAGCAGTCCCTGCCTGAATTCTTGACCCAGAGAAGCATGAACAAATAAATAAAGTCTTTTTGTTTTAAGCAATTAAGTTTGAGATGATGTGTTATTAGCAATGAATAACTGACATAAAAGTATATCTTTTTTTTTTTATGATAGAGAGAGAGAGGCAGAGACATGGCAGAGGAAGAAGCAGGCTCCATGCACCGGGAGCCCGACGTGGGATTCGATCCCGGGTCTCCAGGATCGCACCCTGGGCCAAAGGCAGGCGCTAAACCGCGCACCACCCAGGGATCCCATAAGAATATCTTATAGAAAAAAAAGAATGTCTTACAGAGATCATTACTTCCTTATGAAGAGAATATAGAGAACTACAATATAGATGTAATCTTCAAGCAAATAAATGAAAATAAATAATTTCACCTCAACACCAAAAAATTGATTTTATGATCTATG